GTGTGTGTGGCTGGGTGTGTGTGTGTGGCTGGGTGTGTGTGTGTGTGGCTTGACTCTGAGTGAGATGTTATTATTGTCCTAAGAACAAATTCAAATTTTTCCTTCCTAAGACGTTTTAAAATTGCCCGTGTAACACACACCCTGGGAAGATGGGGATTTACCCATCAGTTTGTGAGATCAGCACTTTTCTGAAAGTCTGCTAACTCAGGTATATTAAAATTCATACTTGGGTTGGAATAAGGCTCAAAAATGAATTCACTAGGGCCTTTTGAAATAAAATTTGTGTTTTTAAATTTGAAAAGAAATTGAAAAAATTTATGGTCACTCTTGACGCATGACTTTGGAGAGCCATTATAAGTAGAACAACAGTCATCATGGAGAGTAAGTACCAACCACTGTGGCCTTTAAACATGGGCTAACCAGCACTGATAATCCATTGGCACTCTGCCGGCCTGACAGCACCACTTAACATCAATGGACCCCAGGGGGATCAGGACTATAAAGCGCATAAACCCCAATATTTTGCATGTTTAAACAAACAGCCACTAGCTCTAGTGTAAGGATTACAATCAGGATAACTCCGTGTAACCATAAGGAACTCATCATGTCTGCTGGAGGTTGGGATGAGGCCATTCTCTTCCCTCTCGCAAACATACAGCTGAAGACTGCGTATTGATTTCCACGTTTAACATTTGTGCTTAGGAATTCTTAATCCACTCTCATTTCGCCTACTGAGGTAGAGTTATCCGTGCTCCGTGTCCTTTTTTAGCCTGTCTATGCTTTTCCAACTCTAATATAGGGACCAAATTTTCACGTTTCAGAAATGGGTTAAAAGTTCAGCTTCTAAAGAGAGGACCGTGCTACAAAACAACTATTTCAGACCCCATATCCTAAGAGCAGCTCAAAAGCTTTGACTTGATGAAGGGGTCCTATTGGGGACTTTGATGTTTCCCATTCTAGATTCAGCTTAACACTGTGCTTCTCAACCTTCCTAACACTGCATCCCTTTAAAACAGTTCCTCATGTTATGGCAACCTCCAACCACACTGTTACACCAGAGCTGTAAATTGTGCTTCTGTTATGAATCATAATATAAATATCTGTATTTTCTGATTATCTTAGGGAACCCCTGTAAAAGGGTCATTTGACCCCAAAGGCTTGCAACCCACGATGGAAAATCACTAAATTAACATATAGCAAAACTGAGGTCAATGGGCTGCTGAACTCTTCTGAACCAAAATACATACGAGGCTGCATTCAGAGGTGAACAACACAAAAATGACTCTATATACTTCATCAAGTAACAACTCAGGATGTTTCCAGCTCCTGAGAGTTTAATGGAGTTTCTCAAGCCCAAAGCTTCTTAGTTGACATCTAAAAGGAAGCTTGTTTTCTCCACAAGATAAATGGATGCAGCCCAACACATTTGTAGATGACAATGCTATGTCACCATGTTAAAAAAGTTAGATACCCTTGTGCCCATCCAAATAAACCAAAAATTCAATTGATAAAATTATTGAGAAATAGTCATAGCACTGTTTTCCCCCAAACTTCCTACCTGAAACATTCCAGAGAATCTATGGAAAATTTATTAAAACAAAAACTAAAGTTTAATGGGTTGGCTGAATATCTTAAAAATTACATTAAAAACCAATATCTTTTATCAACAACCATCATTGGGGAAGCATAGACATATGTTTCTAATTTTATATAGTACTTGCATGAAGACAATTATAAAGCTTCCAGTATAACCTAAAGTAAGAGGGGGCTGACCCTGTTCTTAGACAAGGAAACTGATCATGGCAGAAACACAAATTTGCTCCCATTTAGTTCATAAATAACAATGCAGTTTTAAACTAGTGGTCTTGGTAAGAGGTAGGAAACTGGACAGAGTGACCTAGAAACTTGTAAAAAATGAAAATTATAGGAGGTGACCAGTGTTGCCACATACTCAAGTGTAATCCAAAGCATTTCCCTCTGAGACAACGGTTCTGAAGCAAGAATGGGCCTGGGAGCGACGGTGCTTAAGAGAAACAAGTGTTCTATCGTCAAAATAGAAATAAGGAAATATCTTATGCAGCCACGGCTTTATGTTTTTTGCTTCAAATTTAGGCTTAATTTTCCTTTAACAGTCCTAAGGTGTAAAATATGAACTATGAAAGACTAATGAGAAATTCCATGCTTGGTCCTAGTAATAAGTAAAGAATTAAAAAATGAAAGTAATCTGATGTCTTGCTCCAATTTTAAATTAAGGAGGGGAAAAAGAAAAAGAAAAAGAGAAAATGAGAAAAGAAAAGAAATGACTTGATTAATTTTGGCAGTTTAATAAAATCGTAAAAAGGTAATGATAGTACCTTAGCCTAAGGAGACATTCAGATACGGTTAAAGATAGTAACTATAAAGGATATTGACATTTTTGTGCTATCAATAACACAAACATAAATACGTGGGACTGAATAAATTCTACAGACCCAAATACTACACATATATTAACACCCATGCTGGAGAATGTCTGATGCCACAGAAAGATGTGTGTGGTTAGTGGGTGACATGCAACAATCTAAACTCCAAAGGGATGCGTACAACACGGGACAAATGTCTTATTAGTTCCTTGTGGTTTTTTAAAAATTATCCTGGCAACAGCAATTCCCTTTTTGGAACCACAAGACATTTTACTTGATTTTTATTCTCAAAAATTTCTACACTGTAACTACTGTCTTGACGGCATTAAAAGTTTTCAAGCCATCGCGTAAAGCACTTTGAGCACGCTGGTGGCCTCTTCAGTGTGCATTGCGTGAGGGCAGAATTACGCGGCCCTCTAAAAGACAGCCAGCCTCCGTCAGGAGGAGGCGTGGCGGCCCGGTTTGCTTTTGTGACCTTACCCTTTAGCGCAGTGCCTGGCGCAGAAAGTGCACTCAATCAGGACTGGATGATGAGCAAACCAAAATGTAGAGGGGCAAGCAAATGACTTCACAGCTTGTCACAAAGGCCTAAGGCCACACATGCAAGCGACACAAGTTCAGGTGAGAATTTAAGTTTTCACCAGAAAACAAGAAGTCGTGTTTCACTGTGTTGGATTCAGGCAGAGCCATCGCTGTTTTTCGAGAGACATGAATGGTTTTAGGGTTTCAGAGATCAATGGGGTAAAACGTGGTGGTGCCATGCTGGTGCCGTGCTGGTGCTGTGCTGGTGAACTCAGCTCATCTGGCGGAGTTACACCTCAGGGAGTTGGCATTCTTCTAGGGTCACTCAGGACCCTTCTAATTTCTAAGGTCTGCGAATCGTCAAAGTACATCAAGAGAAACATTCACAAGGTTGAGATTGCAGGAGAGTCATTACCTGAAGGCTATAGAGGAGACGGGTTAAATTCTGTATCGCTTGTATAATCTGGGGGTGAAAAAGGATTACACGTGTCAAATTCTTGAAAAGCTTCCTTGGCTACAATTTGAGAAAGGGTGGTATATGTTCAAAACATGTGTAGCTCACCTCTGACTGTGAAGACCCTGGGAAACTTCTATATTCGACCTAAAATACATAAAAACACGAGAAAATGAACAGCTTGACTTCTGAAAGCTAGCAGGAATCCCTAACACAGGAGCTTCCCTCCCTAACTCCGTCACCTCAGCTACAGTAACCATCTCCTCCTGAGCCGGAGAATTCAACAGCCCCTTGTCATTGTGGGTCTTCACTCATTCAGAGTTAGAGATGTGTGGCAACTGTTACCCAACCATGCCTTACAGTGGCATAGAGCAAAGGAGCTCAGCGGACAAGTGCCTCATCTCCAGGAACAGGCGGTTGGTTATACCGTGTTCTCCGGAAGCTGCAGGACAGCACAGGGCCTCTGCTCCCAATCTCAGTGTTAGAGAACCATGAGGCTCGAGCAGCCAGTGGGTACTTAGAGAAGCCCCAGGGAAGCACTTAGTTGAGGTCCTCCAGGTCCTGCCTCAACCAATCACCAGTCCAGCTCAAACCCCAGCAATAAAGACAGAGGAGGCTGCATCTTCTCCTTGGGGATGGGGTCTATGCCTCAGACTTTGTTTCTTTCATACCACTGAACGCAGGGAACATGTAGATACTGAGAGCTCTAGTTCCCAAAACTCCATTAAGCATTTGTTTATTTATTTATTGTCTGTCTTCTCTCATTAGAAAACCAACAAATAGTAAGACTTTGTGTATTCAATGTTCTAGCTACAAACCTAAGAATAGTGCTTAGCACATAAGGGACAGTCAACAAATCACTGTAAGATGCATTTGCACACCCTCTTTTTAATAAGTAAGTGGCAAAGAACACTCCACACTTTCGATGCTTGCTTTTGTCTGGGTCCATGTCTTGGCAAGCCCTAAAGGAAGTCAAGCACGGTAACATCTTCCAGGCATCTTCACCTTGATGCTAACACCGGCGATGGGCTGGCCTGATGTCCTTTTCTTTCATGCCACCAGTTAAAGACTTTGTTGCTAAGTCCCTCTAATAGAGAAAGGACAAAGGCTGAAGCGGCAGACATGTCAGTCAGTACTTCAGTACTCTGCCCAACTGTATGGGAGACATCAGGCTAAGCCCTTTACCGCTTTGGTGGTAAGGGTCCTGCTTTTCTTACGAGCCCATCTTGGCCCATCCACTGCTTTTGTGGTAAAAATAACAATACTCCTGATGTTTATACTCTATAGAGAAGTAAATGCGGAAACGAGTTGGGCTGTGCTACACTTGAGTGCTCACACTAGAACTGGGTTTGGGATGAGACAGGAAACATCATCTTTTCAGCGAGCGTCATCTGCCCCCTGGTGGTTGTCCTGCACAACTGCAGTTAGTAGCTGAGCAGGAGAATTTCTACTCTTTTTTAAACTGTTTTTAATTCTTTTAGAAATTTGTTTTAACTTTATCCTTTCAAGGACGCTAGTGCCAAGACATGCATTACATGCTATCTTAAAGTTTGACCCCAGTGACCCTTTCCTGTATCTCAGTTTACTTCCCTTCTCAAAAAGACCTTATGAAGGGTCAGATTTCCCCATAGCTAGATACCAACCCACTTTCTGTGCAGAATTCAGCTGCCACTTGACCAACTGTCTTTCCTCCCTCAAAACCTAGGAGCCATTGAAAACTACACACTTCAGTCTTCAAAGCAAAGATCACATGGAAAAGCAGGAAACATTGGAAGACAAATAAGTCTCAAAGCTTACAATGAGAATAAATAGAGTAAAATTCTGTAATCATAAATTAACTTGGGCCTTTGAACTTTGAAAATGAATACTAAATCAGAGCTGTGAAGTTCTGAAAGGCAGACCTGTGCTGTCACCTGTCACGTATCTGGGAAACACATAAGCAGAATCCTGCATTTGTAATAAACATGAGCTGTGCTCCCACACCGGTGCACATGAATACTTGGTAATGGGGTTAAATCAGCGCTAGACAAAGTGAAACTCTCTGGCTGACTCGCCATCTCCCCAAATCACAGTGTTATTCCCCTGCTTACAAAACCACAGACTTGAAGTTAACAGGAAGCTGTATGCATGAATTTCTACAGAGAGAGTTACAGCCTATATATATCAAGAATCAGAGAGACAGCAGCATGTGAGAACACCCTGCCACAGGCAAAACGTGGTCCTGTGGGTTCAGAGTCTGCGGAAGGAAGGTGGACAGTGGTTGAGGAGCAGTGGATTGGTAGAGGATAGAAGCCAGTCCGTCCCAATGGCGCCATCTGGTGGTGTAGCATCCCAGTATCGGGGCCAGCTCTCAGCCAAAGAGTTGCCAAAAGCAGTAGGAGAAAAAGCAAAGGTTTGCAGAGAGTAAGCCCGGAAGTCAGAGAACGCAGACACACATACACACAGGAGGGTTTTCAAGCTTTTTGTTTTGTTTTTAATAATTTTCAGTTGTTTTTTAAACACCTACATGATATAGAAAGAACATGAACATTTAAAGAATAGATAGACTAGAACGCTTCAATATAGATATTTAAATGAATCAGAAACAATTTAGGAAAAAAAAAAGCATTTCCAATCCACTCGCTGCCTGATAGCTCAAGCTACTTTATATACAAGGCAATGGGTGCTGGTTACTAACGAGGTGGTTAATTAACAATACCTTCTCCCCTGCATCAGAGACCGCCAAGTCCGTTACCACACCCTGGAGCCCGGGATCCACATCCCAGCAGCCTCTTCCTTCTGTCCCTTCTGTGACTAGTGCTGGAAGCACACCATTGAGACAGAAACAAAAAAGGACAACATCAAACATCAGCCAGCCAAGTGGTTTCTTCTGTACACACTGACACACGTTTCCAAAAAAGAAAAAAACAAAACAAAAAAAACCTACCACAAGGTAATACATACTGAGTGCTCCGTGGGGGCGCTAGAGAGCACAAGTCCACAGTCCCTGCTCTCATGGAGCTTACAAGCTAAGAAATTCCAAGCAGCACCTCTGTACCAAGGTTTTTAACTGTGCTTCTGGCTTGGGCTGAAGTGTCCGTGTGCTCTTTGTGGTACCAAGTCTACCTCTCACTTCCCCCTAATGGGACCAAGGCTCCTGGGAAAGGAGACATTTAAAACAGGTGCCCGGTGAGACAAGAAAAGCACAGTGTCTCGGCAGACCAGGTCCGTAAAAGACTCCGTCGTAGCCGGTGCGAGATGGACAAGTCTAGAGGAAGGTCCAGAGGCGCAGGGGGCGCTGTTCTAGGAAGGCCGAGGTGGCTAATGCGTTAGGGTTTCAGAGTCATAAAAACCGAGAGCCTGCCCCGGTTTCTCCTCATTTTCAGCTTTTCTCAAGTTTCCCACTTATACGTTAATACTGTAAACACTGTACATTTAATGCAGGAAAACACAGCAGCTGGTCCAGAGTTGTTACATATCAAATACAAATTTACCTTCACCCATGAAACCTCAGTCGACAGAAGTTCATTATTTATTTACGGACGATGTGAATTCAATCAAAACTTAAGACTACACTCAGTTCACCTCTTACTAATTCAAACCGGGCCTTTCAAGGCCCACACATACTTCATTGGAGCAGTATCTGAGCAGAACCCTGACCCAAAGATTCATTTCCTGGTAACGTTTGTAATCGTTTTTCGTTTCTGTTTTAATATCATGTCAGTATGCATCTTTGTTTCTAACAAGGGAGTGTCCCCTTTTCTCTAACTTAATATAATTACTTGCATCATCTTTGGAAAATGACAGTTGTCCAGGACTCCAAAAGCCTCTTCTAAACCAGTTTTCTGTGTGAGTGGAAAGCATTTCAAATGGATCAAGTGATAACCAAGTCCATTGTGTCCAAGTTGACCACTGCTTACGCAATGACGGTGGAGGGACAATTCATAGCGACTTTCCTAACTCCTAAGAGATGTCCAAGCCATTTCCAAAAAGGAAACCAGTCTGTCTTTCCTCCCCCTTCCTCACATTAACAAAAACACTTAAATGTTAGAGGAGGCTCCTGTGGAGCTGAACGGAGGAAGAAGGCTGGATTTTCCATGAGGTTCGTGTCCCCCCAGATTCAGCATGAGGGTGGGCAATGGGGTCTCCGCTGGACTGACCATTCTAGGAAGTAGATTATAATCATTGCCCATGGTAAGCATATTGATGAACAAAACGAGAGGACTTTGCTTGCCCTATAGCCACAGAGCGACATGGGCTTGCTTCACAAAGACCCTCCACAAAGCCACTGCAGAGCCACTCTGAGTCCATGCCTTCGCTGGAGAATAATCCTCTGCCCTTAACAACTGTAGAAGGAGACCAGACTCCAGCAGCGCTCTGCTCTAACCCAGGATGGCCTCTGCCTTACAGAGCTCAGCCACCGACGCCTCCTGGCCTGATCCCGATGGCAGGCTGCTCTAGTTCTAGCAAGTGACTGTCACTGCAGAAGGCTCCCAGACCATGCAAGATGTAGATTCGGAAGGGGCCAACCTACACTAGCCTGCCTGGAAGGAGGGAAGGTCCAGCCGAGCGCTCCAGACAGCTGCAGGGGCAGAGCGGAACCTCCCAGCTGTCCCTGGGGCTGGGCGAAAGACCATACCCTCGGTATTTTTAGAGAGAACTTCCTCAATGGCATAATGAGGCTCTTCTAAAGGAAATCACCCAGAGAAGTACAACTCCCCTGACGAATCTGGCTGTTTGAAATGAAAAACATATGTGCACATTCTGAAAATAGAAAGCCAGGATTAGATAAAGCAGAATTTGAGAGGGGAAAATAATTTTGGGTGCTCGTGACAAAACGAAAGAAAAAATGTAAAGAATTAAAAAGTTATGTTGCTTCTAGGCATTCTACTGAACCAAGGCATTTGTTAAAGAAATTCTAACACACAGTGAATGCGGCAGCACACACCTAAAACCCTTGCACTTGAGACAATCAGGAATTCAAAGCCATTCTCAAATACAATAGTAAATTTAAGGACAGTATGAGAGCCACGTAAGACCTTGTCTCAAAAAAAAAATTTTTTTTTTGCAGACATTTTATTACACACATAATTTAGGAATAAGGTTGTTTTGTTTGTTTGTTGTTTGTTTGGTTTTTTTACCATCTTTACACGATGAAAAAATATACTTTGTATTCTCTTATTTTAGAATCCTTCATGGAATTTAGTATGTGGCCTAAAACAGCATAATTGGGTTTGGAGACATTGCTAAACTCACTGCTATTATTTTTAAAATGTATCGACAGCTGGGTGTGACAGCGCACCTCGGTAAGCTCACACTTCTCTGGCAGAGGGATCAGAAACGGAGGTCAGCCGAGGCTGCACAAAACATATTCCAACCTGAAGAAGCCTCTCTGCGAGGGCTGTGGGCGTGGCTCTGTGGGAGACTGCCTGCCTAGCCTACCCGGGGCTTTGGGCTCAATAATCCTGGCACCATAGAAACAAAACAAAAAAAAAAGATTTGTTTGCCATCCTATAACGATGCCACCAAACCCATGCTCACAGGTGCATGTGTCATGGGGGTAGGAGGGACTTTAAATCCTTCTGATTTATGGTTGCTTAGTTGACACTTATACTCGAAAGCCTGTTTGCTTAACGGATTGCAGAGACCCCTTAAAAAAGGATTGAAGGTCCTTTCAAAATTTCATCCAAGGAGTCGTGAAAACCAAGGCAGATGTGATTTTGGGAGGGTGCAATGCTTAACTGAGGGACAGGATAGCATAACCGACAGACAAGTCCTTGGAATACAAGTGCCATTAGTTGCCACATATAATTTCTATTTACAGCCACCATGTATTCTCGAGCTTTTCTTCCCCCCTAATTACAAAAAATACATTAAGTTCTCTTAAAATCAGTAAATCAGTGCTTTTGTTTTATATGACCACCGTGGACACTGGGGCTGTGCCCAGGCTCACTGCCAAGGCCCGCACTGTCACTTACAAGCAGTTGGCGATGCTGGCACATCCTGTGACCCGGGCATGTCAGTCAGGACAGCGCCTCCAGAGCCTTCTTCAGATGTCTGGCTTACATCGCCTATCTTTGAAGCCTTCACAGCAACCTGCAGACTCTCGGCTAACAAGGAGAAAAACAAAACTAAATTTAAGCAATAAATACATAGAGAGAGAGATTTAGTCTGGCAGGTGTGTCCAGCCTGCAACAGCTGGGCAGCACATGCCCGAAGATAAAGCTCAACGCAAAACTGCAGACGTATCTAAAGCATTGTGAGATTATTTCTGTGAATTAATTGACTTGATAGCAACTCTGTCACATGGTTCTCGGGCATGAACTCTGTAGATGACAATTTGTTGCAGCACAATGGCAAAAGGTTAGCTACTGTGAGTGGCTGAAAGTTGACAGATCACATTGGACCTGCAACTTTCGTCATACAGCCTGGAGAACTAACATTTGTTTACTTTTCTTCCCTTTTATTCTGAAACAGGTCCTCATGTACTCCCGGCTGGTCTCAGACACTCTCTGCAGCTGAGGATGGTCTTGAACTCTTGACCTTCCTGCCCTTACCTCTCAAGGACTGGGATTTCAGGTGTGTGCCATCGTGTTCATAAGCACATACAACTACATCCCCAAAAGTGTGTGACTTGCAAAGACTAAAACACTTAGAACTGGCCCCTTACAGAAAAATTATACAGCCCCGCAGTCCCTACCAACTGACAGCAGCGTCCTTCTGCACAGAGAATATAAAATAGCTCAAGTGCAACCTTCAGTACATTAGTATACTGAAAACCCGACTGTACTTCAATTAATACACATACACTACCACATATTAGAATTTTTAACGTTGTGACTAAGAAATACTAACTCCTCCTCAAAAGAGTGTTTCTTCAAACTTGTTTGTCGTGATACACAGCCCCATCTGTGTTCTAGTCCTCTTGGGAACTATGAGCCCCCGAAGAGGACATGTTTACTTACATAAGGGAGTATTGGCTAGTATGTGGAATATTACTATTTTGAGGACCTTGTAATTATTTCTAAAGCATCCTCACCACATTTAGACTTATGTGATAGCTGATCGGGGAAATCTGAAAGAGAAGCGGGGAAAGAGACATAGCTATGGCCACGCAGAGCCGCGGGAGAGCAGCAGTCCCTGGTGGGACTGGGAACATGAGAACAAGTTCCTAGAGGGCTGGAAACTGGAAGACAGATGAAATTCAAGAAGAGGAGGGAGGGAAAGTAGCAGTCCAGCAGAGTAAAGGGGCTTGTCTTTCTTTACACGATGGGGTCTTCGCGCTGGGAGGAGGCCTTGATCACCTACACTCACGTGTGGACCCATAACCCAGGATGGATTCTCATCTGCAGCCTACATGGCGCCTCTACTGCCGTGGGTTCCCTTGAGCCTACAAGGCCATCCTAGTTCCTCTGTCATGTGGTAAGGAACAAAAACCAATGGATTTCTAACCCCTCATCAGGAAAGATTTGGTAGAAAGAAGAAAGCCGAAACCACTGGCTCAGTATGAGAGCAGGTGATTTGGTCCATTAAGGCTTTGTCATGTGGGAGGGGCATCATGAATGCTTGTCAGCCTCCTTCACTTTATTTCCCAAACATGTCCCAAAGCGGTCTACTACTCTGCTTTCACTGCCAACCGTCATGGCCATCAATGTAAATACTATTCACTCCTCTCTACAACTCCATAATTCCCCGCTTCCCGTATTTTGATTATTTTCCTTATAGCACTCATACTTACAATCTTATATGCTTACTTCTTTATATTTTGAAATGTCCGGAACATAGGTTCTATAAGAATAAGTATACTCTCTCATTCTGCATGCACCTAGGCCGCCATGCACGGCATGGAGTGGGTAGGCACCCAGTAAGCGCAGTCTGAATCTGCCAAAGCAAAACATTTCCAGCGCAACTTGCCTTCTTTCAGGGCTGCTGCCAGCAGGGAGGCTGCCTGGGGAGGCTCTCCGGGGTCAGGTTTGATGAGCAGATGGGGTTCCAGATGGACATCCTCAAAGCCACTCAGTTCCCCAAGTTCAGCATAGATGTGCAGCTTTTCTTCCAGGTACGTGCAAATCTGCTGGTCTTGGTTGCTGAGTATTTCTGTGGAACATTGTTCATTAGAAGAGGTCACCTCTAGTGTGGCCACAAAACTAATACGAATATCAAGTTAGGAGAAAAAGACACCGTGACTTAGCAAGCAGTCTGGCCCTACACTTTGGGTGGGTGTTGTAGTAGCTAATAGAAAGGCGTCGGGCTACATGTTATTTATTTGTAGCCTAAGGTTATTACAGCAGTATTATTTAACCTGCCATCACAAATAATAAGACACAGACACACGTTAGATTTAGAAATACCTTCTTTACCTTGGGCCGGGCAGATATTTCACTTACACAGTCTCCATAACCTCACCATCCACCTCCCAGCCCCCAGCCAATGCCATCCCCTTGATCCTCCTAAATTGGACTACCTGTCATCTATAACCCCACGGTACTCACTTTTATTCTTTATCTAGGCCTTTCCACGCCATCATCAGAGTCCTTTCTCCAGTCCCACGTGGTTTTTTTCTCCATGCTAACCCATGGTGGCCTCCTCCTTCCTTTTCTCTTCCCGTCCCCCTCTGTCCTGTGATTCTCATGATTTTTTCTGTCCTCTCCACCCCTGTGAACCTTAGCCACGCCTACCCCATTCTGCCCTGCCCAGGTATTGGCCTTTTAATGAACCAATCAGGTATAATGTTTTAGGCAGGTTTTCAGGAACAAGGGTGGGCGTGTCCGGCTGGCGGTAACCAGATCTTGAGGGCCAGCAGTTAGCGTTAGACCAACCTCCAACGATTCCGCTTTTCTGTCTAAATAAAAGGCCATTGTTCATACAGACTCCAAATGATGGCATGGAAAGATTAAAAAAATAAAAGCAAGTACCACGGGATTATGGACGAAAGGTAGTCCAAGTTAGGAGGATCAAGGTGGATGGCATTGGCTGGGGGCTGGGAGATGGACGGTGAGGCTATTGAGACCGTGTAAGTGAAATATCTGCCCGGCCCAAGGTAAAGAAGGCAGTTATAAATCTAACAGGTGTCTGTGCCTTATTATTTGTGAGAGTGGGTCAACTAATACTGCCGTGATCATCTTAGGCTTAATAATAAATAATATATAGCCCAATGCCTTTCTATTATTTACTATAACAGGTGGAGAGAGCCAGATTCCATTTCTGATGCCTCCACTTGTGACTATGACCTCCTACAAGTGATAATATTTTCCCCACCATCCACTGCACTTGATAAATAAATGCACCTTTCCCAAATACCAGAAAATCTTGCAAAGTTTTTTTTATGTTGATAACTTCTATTAAGCCTGGATATTCAACTCAGGAAAGGATAATCTTCTATTTAGACTGAATACCCAGCTCAGGAAAGAGAACTGAGGCAACCCTCTCCGCAATGAGTGAGGGCTGAGAAGCCTCAGTCTTCAGTCTGTCTTGGTCAAAGCCAGAGCCAGTTTATGGTTCTGCTTCTAAACATCTCATTTCTATGATGACCTCTGCATGCATCAATTTTCCCCTGACTTCAATAGGTTACAGGAGTCTTAACGCTAGAGACCCTAACTAACATTGAATCCAGTGAGTCTCTGCCTCAGTTGGTTCAGGGAGCTAAGGAGCAGATGACAAAATTTTAATGACCTCCCTACATGACTCTAGTTGTAAGGCCTAGAGTGGAGAATTAGTGAGATAAATGTATCTCTTGGCTTCACAGTGCACTCGATGTCCTGCCTGGTGGATTCTTTGTCTAGTCACAGGAGCTTGACATGGCAGAAACTCCAGGGCTCGCCAGCACCACAAGGCCCTAAACCATGGTTTCATATGTGTTCTGTGTATTTGCATGAGCATCTTGGTCATTCATCCCTTGTCTCTTGACGGGTGGTTCTGGCGGAGGGTAGGCAGTATGGACCTCAGGTACACTCAGTGGCATTGCCTTGACTCATGACATCACGATTTTCCCGCCACTCAAGAACACAGGAGCCAGAAGCCAGAGCTGCACACGTACCTTGACATTGCTGAATTTTGGCCACCCTGGCTTCAGCTTTTCGCCTCTCTTCATCAGACTCACTTGTCCTTCCTCCTTCCTCTTCTGGACAACTTTAAAAGACAACAGTCAAGGCATCACTGAAACCAGTTTCAAGGATTTCTAAGCTTATGAGAAAAACACGGGAACTTGGCAAAAGAACTATCCACAAAGGCAAAAATAAAGAAAGAAACAAACAAACAAATAAAAATCAGCACAAAGAGAATTGGTTGTTCCAACTTTCCAAGAGATTCGTTTTCTTGAGTATTCACATGCTACAACACAGGTTCAAAGCAGCAGCAACAGTGGGCTTGTTATTACACGCAACTAAGATAAAGTTTTGGGTTTTGTACCATTAGGAAACTCCTCTTGACGGAGCTAGGGTGGAAGGGTTAAGGGACAGATAATAAGCCTCCACACTGAGTAGGTGCGGTAGAGGTGGGAGCAATTTAACAGAGTACCACGCTCATCCAACTAACCGAATTAACAGTAGGAATTACCACCCCCATCCTCACCCCTCATTTGTCAAAAGCCTCCTTACATGAGTAACAAGCAATACGTTAACTGAGAACATTGAAATCCACCAGCCATTTATTTGAATGGTTCCTCAGGCACACACAGAAACAGAAGACACGGTACCTGCTCTCAAGGAGCTTCCAATCTACAGAAACACACGCACACCTGCATGTAAAATACAACCCTACAGGAAATAGGTGACGAGCACCAAATCAACGGCTTAGAAAGAGGGTGTGACAGCATCTCAGATGCGACACAGAACACCTGGACTGAAGAGGTCTTCATGAAGCAGGGAGCAGGAGCCACACCAAAGCACACAGGTAGGGCGGGAAGGCACGGCATGTGGGGAGGTGTGCAGAGGACAGAGCTGCAGGTGACAGGCTACAGCAGGCAGGGGCAAAGGTCAGGAAGCAGGCAGTTCTGGCTGAGGCAAGGTGTTCATGCAGGGAGGACATGGTTAGAACGCATTCCGAGACTGAACAAGGACATCTATAGATAAAGACAGCGATGTTACCTCTCTACTGCCTGCTGGATCCGCCTCATCCAGTTATTTCGTTCCTCCTTGGAATTGGTGTGGATTTCATACATCTCGGGACCGGCTGATGAAGCGCTGATCAGAAACATGCCTCTCTCCTCATTAGCAACCTCTCTGGCAATAAGCTTCTGAAGGGAGATGACTGAAGGCTTCTGGTCCTGGAAGAGTTAAGAGGATGCACAGGTGAAATTGCACCGTCTCAAAACCAGGAGTCACACAGGACCATGAGCCACAGGAAGCAACAGGATATGGGAAACTCCATCTCCCGCGTTGTCCTGTCAAGAGTTTCAGAAGTTCTCCAGTGGAGAATGTACTCCTCTGGCTCTCGTCTCACAATGACAGGGTTTGGTACTATCAGCTGGAGACATGGTGTTCAACACAGGAGCCTGTGGAGGGCATTTCTTACTCAAACTGAAGCAGATGGAGAATGAAGACGTAGGGGAATAATTATCCTTAAGGTTGGCAATTTAGAGTCTGGAAAGATGGCTAAGTGGCCAACAGCAAATGCTGCTTTAGCAGAGGCCCCACGTTTGGTTCCTGGTACCTATACTGTGTGGCTCAAAACTACTTGTAACTCCAGCTCCAAGAAAACATGCTTTCTTCCAGCCTCTGCCCTCACATAGGCATACCCACACAGACACATACAGATTTTTTTAAAATTAGTAATTTAAAAAATACTGGTAGTTAAAAAGGGCAATTTTTAAAAGACCCTCAGGTGAAGGAAAAAGATTCGATTCAACTCCTGTGGCTGAGGAAGAAAGGATTTAAAGAAGAAAGAAAGAAAGAAAGAAAGAAAGAAAGAAAGAAAGGAAGGAAGGAAGGAAGGAAGGAAGGAAGGAAGGAAGGAAGGAAGGAAGGAAGGAAGGAAGGAGGAAGGAAGGAAGGAAGGAAGGAAGGAAGGAAGGAAGGAAGGAAGGAAAGAAAGAAAGAAAGAAAGAAAGAAAGAAAGAAAGAAAGAAAGAAAGAAAGAAAGAAAGAAAACAGTATATCTGACATCACAATAAGATTGGGAAGGATGAGAACCCAGAAGTCACTGGATTTGGCAATAATTAGAAGACAGTGCTGGAAACAGAACCATAGGAAATACGGGCGTAGGTCACCAAACGAAGTATAGAAATGGGCAGAGGAGACCTGACAGCACCTAGGCATCACTAGCTACTTATGCTCCAGCCTTACAGACCTCGGCGCCACAACTACTGCAGCTCTGCCTGGAAGTGGCTCCTCCTTCCCAACCAGATGAACACTTGGTGAGCAGGACGGGGCTTAAACTCATCTTCATACGCCAGACACATGGCCTGTCACAGAATAGGCCTGCAACTGACATCTGCAGAAACGGATTTGACATAATTCCATCCGAGGGAAATTGGAAGAAAGTCTAAGAGTTGGTGTCCAAGGTATATAATAAGAAAACTTCTACCAACATTTACTGTGGTGTCTCCATGCCATGCCCTGGAGCCTCACAGTAGAAGGCCTTAACAGCCCCACATCTGGCTCAAGAGCTGTGGTTAAAAGACGGGCCAAAGGAATGTCTGCAGTGTGAGAAGTATGTGGAGTACGGGATCTGCCTTGGTCTGCGGCTCCCACCACTGTTTACAGAGCTGGTTGCAGCATCTGGTTTTGTTTCTTCCCTGTGGACTCAGTGAAGCCTTTATCCAGAGTTTGCCATTCCCCACTGCTGACTTTCCAGTGCTGGCTTGCCTTCCCAGCACTGCACGGCAATGCCACATCTGGGGTTATTGGCCAACGCATCTCTAGGCTGCTTTTCATGTTTTCCAGAGAAGTATGGAGAAAGAAAAGAGAGAGAGAGAGAGAGAGAGAGAGAGAGAGAGAGAGAGATATCATGGTGGAATAGACTACTGGTCTACCCAGTCCCATGCTTGGCCTCTGGAAATAGAGGGTATATCAGTTTTAAAGATGTTGAATCCTGACCTCTGCATTAGAGGTCCTCTAAGCATTATTAAGATGGCTTTAGTATTGGAGATCTATGTTTCAGCTTCCTCTTTCTGTATGTAAAAATGCAAGGTGGGTTTGAGTTGCTTGATATGGAATAAAGTGAAATTATTAGTAGTAGGTTAGTATTCCAGAGAAAGGGAGGTGGTGGCAAGATCTTTCAAAAGTGAAGAATAAATAAAGGGTAGAAAGGAAAATTAATTAAACCACCAGCCAGAAGGCATCAAGGGCATGCTTGTCATTATTTATATTAACTACACAAACAGTAGAGATAAACAAGATTCAGCATCCCCAGGAGTGCAGGTAACATATCAGCTCTGGGAAGAGGTGTCACACATTGATGATGCAAGGATCTAATGCAGTCTGCAGGGATATTTTGTTTGTCCTGTAGCATTTTAAAGCCTTTTTGTTGTTGTTGTTGTTGTTATCAACATTTGTGAGTAGGAGCTTCCATTTTTTAGAGTGCGGGTGCTTAGTAGAAACAGAAGCCTGGCTATTCTGGACTATATTTTTGTTGAATTTATAAACACCAGCTATACAACTCAGAAAGCATGACTCACCTTGCCAGTGAACATGTACTGCTAGGAACACAAATAAAATACTTGAAAAAGAATGCCAACAAGTGGTGCCCAATGTAGGGCTTACAACAATGGAAAGTCTGGGCTCTAATGCTGTGAAGAAGACAGCGGGGTGTGAAGACATGCATATATACTTTCAGAGTGTCAAAAGTTTACTGTGGCTATTGTTGCTGGGTTCTCTCCTGGCTGCCCCCAGAAGGGATTTTCTGGTTTTGCTTAATCTTATTCCTCTATTCTAGCTCCAAAAGAGATTGGGAGAATGACTGATGAATTAGAAGATTTGCAAGTGGATATGGAGGAATACAAGAAACAAAAAAGTGGATATAATAAGAAAATCAGAAGGGTCCCCCAGTTCTCGCTTTTGAAAGGATTGCAGAGTTGGCTGTGCAACTCTAGAGATTCTGGGTAGAAACGGAAGCGCTTGGGAAGCAAACAGAGCTGCTGGAAAAGGGAGGGGGGAAAGGTTTAGATCTGGTAATTGATCTAAGCCAGAGTTTCCCAAAAATTGCTACCCTTCCTTGCTCCTTGCACTTTTGGTGTCAAGTTCTCACAGTCTCTGGGTGGGCTGAATAGCTGGAAGGAGCAGAAGGCCATACAAAGTGAAAGGGTTAAAGAGAGACAGTTTCAAGAGAAAAGGTTAGTATTAAGCAAACTGAGCTGCCAGAGGAGCAGCCTTGGGTTAAGAGATTACCACCATTAGCTTTCCCAGTAGCCACTAAAAGGCTTAGATATCAAAATGCTTAGTGCTTCAACTGCAGTAAACTTGGTTATTTGAAAAGAAATTGTGACCAAGCCACTAAAAGCCTCAGAGTTCAAAATTTCTGGTGTGTTAATTCTGAGAAATACAGTACTTTCCATCAGTGACTCAAGGAGCCATTTCTGTCAGCACTGGGTTCTCAGCATCCTGGGTTAGTAAATGCTGTGGTAAAAAGTGTCATTGGATGCAGGTTCAATATCACATACAGGAGCTGGAGAGATGGCTCAGTGGTTAAGAGGGCTGTCTACTCTTCTAAAGGACCCAGGCTCAATCCCCAGCACCCACATGGCAGCTCACAACTGTCTGTAATGCCAATTCCAAGGGATCTGACACCTTCACACTAATGCACACAAACTAAAATTAAATAAATTATTAAAAAAGAAAAAGAATCACATACAAGGTAACCTCTTGTCATTAGGAAGGAGCTTTGGAGTCCTAGCTTGAGGCTCAGCAGCAAAAAGTATGAGCCATTCCGAACAAGAGCAGCTGAGAGCTACCAGGTTATAGAAGAAATTATTAATCCAAAAAGTATTTGGTTCATTGATAATCTCCTCTTACGAAAACATCAACAAGTCTCATTCATATTAGAGAAAAAGCCAATTATTTTATTTATTTTTTTTTAGACTAAAGGGAGGAAATGTAGTAGAAGGTTTCGGCATCTTAAAAACCCAGTTGTGTTATTGTAAACATGTTTTTGCTTTAATCCCAGGTGTGGGTCATGCAGATGTTGCAGTTTATTTACAGCAGCAAATTATTTGCCTTGTGCAAGCTCTGCAAGGAGATCTTTGCCAGGTGCAGATAGTTTAATTCTGAGGACTTTAGAGAGAGACAAAAGGTCAGAGCCCAGAGCCAGAAAGGGGCAGAGGAAGGCGGCGGCTGCTCCCCCCTGCTGCTGCTGGTTGCTGTTGCTGCAGTTTGAGGAGAAGTTGGAGCTATCCTGAAGTGAAGATTGGACTCGCCCCAAGGAACCCAACGACACTAAACAGCAGAAAGTAGCCAAAAAGAACTATGCCTGCTCTCCCCACTAACATTTCTCTCCTACCTGATGTTGGAAGGACTGGGGTGGAGAAGGGAGGTAGAGGCATAAGAAACAAACAAACAAGTTTAAAAGTATGCTAACAGGCATGCTAAAATCTAGTTATGTGCTAACAATAACTCTGGCACCAATGAGAATTGTCTTCAAGCCTGAGGCTATAGTTCAGTAGGAAAACATTTGTCTAGTATGTGGAAAGTCCTGGGTTCAATACCCAGCACTATGAAAAGTGAAAAGAAAATAATCTCCTTTAGAAATTATGGTGTTCTCTTGCTTGGCAGAAGGGGCATTATCACAGTAGGTTATAGATTAGGCAGGCAGGTGGGCAGTAAAAGGACCATCCAGGGAAAAAAGAGCAAGACACTGGGAATGGCAAGCTCAACACTAATGCCTCAGTTGCCAGAGCTGAGCGCAGGGAATGGGGATGAGGCCAGAGGCCAGAGGGAAGACCCAGAAATCCAGGCAGGAAGGAGGTAGGTGAAGCCCTGGGGTAGTGTCCATTCCCCATCAGTGCTGCAGCCTTTCACTGTTTTCAGAATTGATTAACCTGCCTGCTTAACCAGCTTTGAAATCTGTTACAGCAGTGGGGATATAGTACGAACACATTCAAGTGACTTTTTTGTTTTTGTTTTTTTGTTTTTTTTAATTAGGAGCTTCAGGCATTGTTGAAGGAAATACATCACTAGGGAGTAAAGTGTGCCTCGACTGGGTGCATACTTACAACAGCTGCAAAGATGTACTTCTGGTCTTTCTCTTGTAAGAAGAGCAGCACATCCGTTAGAAGCAGAGCTAGGATATCTTCAAAGACAGAAACACAACAGGACTAATGAGGAAAACCACAGCCTACATGACTTTATCGCTATTTTAATTTTCATGCTTGACATTTAAATCAGTTTAACATAAATGAAAGACTTTCCTAAGAAACTTTTATTTTAAAAACCCTTTCATTATGATAATTAATATCTATTACAGTTAAAATGCATAGAAAGTTGTTTAAGTGAGGCAAATCTCTGGAAAACGTTTAAGAGAGTTTTCAAAATGAAAAAAAAAAATTCAGTGTAAAAGAAGGCTCTGAGACGGTGTGATGATGGACATTTGCAATCTCAGTACTTGGGAGGCTGAGGCCAGAGGGTTATAAGTTTGAGGCCAGCCTGAGTTACATATCAAGACCTCATGCCAATGCATCCAAGCCGCCCTTCTATGAAAGAAGGCCTTAAGAGAACGGAATATCCCCTTGCCTTTAGGGGGACATGTAGCTTATTATAAACGTAAGGGAATTCGGGTGGCTGGATGTGGTGGAGGCTCACACCTTAATCCCAGCACTCAAGAGGCCGAGGCAGGTCCATCTCTGTGAGTTTGAGGTGAGCCTGGTCCACGGAGTGAGTTCCAGGACAGCCAGGAATACACAGAGAAGCCCTGTCTCAGGAGAAAAAAAAAAAAAGTAAGGGAGCTCTCCCACGTCAGGCAATGGAGGGGACCCTCCTCTGTCTAGGCCTGAGTAGAGTTGATTTCTCTATTTCCCTTGAAAACTTTGCAGGAACCCCCCCCCCACACACACAACCACTATATAGTCTAATCCACAAAGATGATTCCATGCGGTGAACAAAGAGAAGTGGCGCTGTGGGGACTGCAATCAGTAGTGTTCCAGGACAACACTGCAAGTGGTTCAGCAGCAAGTGCCTTTGTGGGACTCCCATCACAGCCTGCTCATCCTCTGGTGGGCAACACCTTCAAACAGCTAGAGTAGGGAATAGATCCTTCTCCTTGTCCAAGGATGTGGGTAAGATGAAGGATGCTAAATGCAAGGTCCTTAGAGGCTGTGGTGGAAGCTGAACAGGCTAGCCTTTAAGCTTGACCTTCAGATCCTGATCAATAAATTCAGAGTCTCAGCCACTCACAGTGATGCACACCTCTGATCCCAGCACTCAGGGAGGCAGAGGCAGGCGGATCTGTGAGTTCGAGGCAAGCCTGGTCTACAAAGTGAGTCCAGGATAGTCATGGCTACACAAAGAAACCCCATTTCAAAAAACAAAACAAAAAGGAACAAGGAAGGAAGGAAGGAAGGAAGGAAGGAAGGAAGGAAGGAAGGAAGGAAGGAAGGAAGGAAGGAAGGA